CTCCCTGATTCGCACCTGGAAGAATGACCTCAACTCCACCACGAAGATCAACAGCGTCAGGAACACGGGGGTGTCCAGCGGCGTCTACAAAACGGCAGTCTCGGCCTCCGACAATCCCATCCGGCCATCCCTGCTGCAGGTCATCCAGCACCAGGGTCCCTAGCCGGTCTTTGGCCTCATCATCATCTGGAACCTCTCTGGTAGAGCCACTCACTATTTGGTGTGGAAGCAAATAGAACGGGAGGGGGGAATCTAGTGGATCTCTCCATCCTTAGATCTGCTTCTTTCATTGAATGTCCCACCCCCTTGCCCCCATTAGCTGGGGTTGGCAAAATTTTGGAGCCCATCAAACGTTCCCAACCTAAAGTAGCATCGGTGAGTGGGGGTCTTTATGGGAAATATATCCCCCCACCAATTGGTACAACTTTGACCTGCCAGTCTGGCCCCTATCGGAGAGACAAGAAGGAAATGGAGCAGCTGAAGACAACGTGGCTACTGCACAGGGAGGTGGAATCCACGGCAGACGATTGGGGGGCGCCCAGGTAAGGAAACACAGGGGCTGAACTGCTCTGCCCCCTAACTGGAAGGGCCCTGGGCACCTCTCTTTTTCTCTCTCTTCCCCCCCCTCCCAAAGTGGCTCTTGAAAGGATGCCCCAAACGGGTTTGCCTCTCTCGGGATGTTTCCGCACCCAGCGCTGAGCAGGGAGACGCTGGAGACTCCGGTTGTGCCACTTCTTCCACAAAGAAAGGCAGCAAAGCTTTTGAGGAGCTTCCCCAAGGTGGGTCTCACTGGCAAGTGTGGTTTGGGTGGCGCCACAGCGGGCAACACTCAGAGTTGGCACTAATTGCTCTACTCAAATCGGAGAGCAGTAGCCCAGCACAGCCCCCATATTTGTATGGGGTTAAGAGGCCACCTGGGTGCCTTCCTGGAGCGCAAGGCCTGCAGCTCTTCTTCTCCCCTCCAAAGAGGCCACTTTTCCAGCCACCTGGATGGAGCTGCTTCAAGGGAGGCCTTCCCCTCGTCAGACGTGGCCTGCATTATGTGGTTGGGCACCTACCCGGCCCTCGCTATCCTCCGAGAACCAGAGCATCCATTTCCTTTGTCCCCCCTTTTCTTTCTCACGTGGAATGATGCGGGTGATGATGTTCAGCCTGGAGAAGGGACACCAATCATGCCACCCTGAATTTTGACATTTCCCTCCCTCCTGTTTCATTGTAGGGTTGGCTCCAGCACCTTCTACCGCACCAAGTGAGAGGGTGAAGAGAGCAAGGCTTCCCTGGTTTCTGCCTTGGGGGGGAAATGGGGGGGTGACCCTTCCAACCTCACCCATCAGATGCTCTTCTCCAATAAAATGTTTGCCTGAGCAGCCTCGGCCTCCCTGGTCTTTCAGAAGCTCCTTGGGTGCCAGTCTGCAGGTTTCCAGGAGAGACTGGGTAGGACCCCCATCTGGAGGGGGAGCTCAAAGCTAGCTCTGGGGTAGAGTCTCTTTACACAACCTTTGCCCTTGAAGACTTTGGGAACTTCCAGCCAATCCACTGAGGGTTTGACCTATTGATTTATTATGAAATTATTAAAGGCTTTTGCAAATGAGCCATGAATTAGCTTCACCCAGAGCTGGTCCATCCTAATCACTTGGCCCAAGATTTGCTTGATAGAATCATTGTTAGAACCAGCAATTATCTGGAACCTATTTCGACACTTACCTGAAGAAGCCAAAGAGGCTGGCCACAAACGGTTCAGTTATAACAATTTGATTTGCAATCAAGAATTTTGCAAGTGAGGCCGTTAGGGGAGCAAGAAAACGTAATGTGGTATTTTGCTTAAGCCTTAAAGGTCCAGAGGCAAAAAACTCCACCTTATCATGTCAGAAAACACCCCCAGAAGTGGAGAGCTTATTTTATTTTGATAGGTTTTTATGCCACCCATCTCACTAATACAGCAACTCTGGGTGGCTTACATTGTAATAAACATTAAAAAGTTCTAAAAAGAAATGAAACCAGAATAAAGAGATTAAAAGTTAAGAACCCAGGTGATGGACATTCTGGGGGCAAGAATCTTCTCTACCCCATGAGACACCCCCAGGCTACCCTACCCTGTCAGGGCCCCAGGCTGAGTGGCAAAGCCAGGTTTTCAGGCTCTTCCAGAAGGCCAGGATTGTGTTCTTGTGTTTCTGAGGGGGGGGGGGAATCTCACCTCTGATGGCAGAATATTCTGGGGGGGGGCACAGCAGAAAAGGTTCTTCTCCTGGAGCCAAGCAGCAGAAATTCTTTGGCCAGTGGGATCCAAATTAGGCTGCTTCCACTGGAATGAGAGGCACCAGCTAGTCCCATTGGGGTGAGGCAGTTCCTCAGATACTCCAAAGCTTCACTAAGTGCACCCCCCAATGCTTATTATGGGATGTTACCCAGCTGCATTTGTCTTCAGCACATCAGGAATAAGTGATGAAATATAATGAAATGCTGATGTATTTAGGATTTACATTACTTTTATTACAAAGTTACAGCAAGAGAACCTTATAAAGCTGAATCCATTTCCCTGTCTTCATCTTCCTGAAAGGTCTGAGACCCTTCCTCAAATTTCATTTCTTCCTTGGACACAGTGTTTTTCATCTGATAGTCACTTCTCTTGAGCCTCTTCCTCCTGTTTCCTCTTGTAGCCCATTCTGTCACCAAGGAGGTGCACCAGCAAATGGGTAATCTGAGGCACAACTGGAAGAGATGCTCACAAGAGAAGATAAAAGCAAAGGAAAAGGGGGTGGGGTGGCTGGGTCAGTGGTCCAAGGAAGGGAAATGAAGGAGTGGATCTGCTGCCAGGAGGACCTGGTTGGAAGTGAGCAAGGAAGAGGCAAAGAGCAGAGCTGTTCCTTCCCTGGGTCTTCTCCCCCAAGAGCCCAGATGGAGCTGGGCAGAATCACCAACAGGGACAAGGAGACAGAGAGGGAGGGAGGGAGGGAGGGAGGCAGAGGCAGAAGGAGAGAGAGAGAGACAGAGAGAGACGGAGACACGGAGAGACAGAGACAGAGATGCAGACAGAGACAGAGAGAGCATGGGTGAGTTGAAGTCTCCAAGGCAGGTTGTCAGGAGTCTCAAAGGAGCTCCTGGGGACCATCTCAGACCCAACATGTTTTAGTGCTTAGCTGGAGCATCAAGGGTTTGGGGTGACCCCAAATCAACCTGATATTTTTTG